TGATTTTTCGAACATTTTCGAAAAATTTGAAAATTAAGAAATTTCAAAAAATTTCGAAATTTTAAAAAAATCGAAAATGGTTGCAAACGGCATGAAACGCGAAGATAAATAAGAATTTTTGCCGGACTTGGCTTCTGTGTCAACCAACTGCTGCTTGCCTCGGTGTATGCACCAACAGGCCTCTGCAGATCTCTGGTCTCTGCACGTCCCTGGCTACTTCACGTGTTGCCTGCAGCACCTGGCCTTCTCAAAGATGGCAAGTCAGAGCCGTGTCATAAAGAGACCGGTCTGTGCACAGCCCGAGTCAGGTACAGACCGCATTCGTAAGAGACACAGTACATCAGAAACAGTCCGAGAGAGACCAGTTCTGCAAGGCATCAAGTGGTGGAATTTTGAAAATTTTCAAAATTATCAAAAAATCAAAAAATGCTGTAAATTGCCCAAAAAGCGCACAAAACCAAAAAAATTTGAAAAATTTCACCTTCAATTTTTTTTTCAAAATTTCAAAAAAAAAATTCAAATTTTTTTGGTTTTTTGCACTTTTCAGACAATTTCCATCACTTTTTGATTTTTCAAAAATTTTCAAAGGTCTCCTAAAGAGATGCATACCAGTCTCGGTGAAAGCCACATCCTGTCTCTGCCGGACTCGGCTTCTATCTCATGGAGCTGCTGCTTGCCTCGGTGTATGCACCAACAGGCCTCTGCAGATCTCAGGTCTCTGCACGTCCCTGGCTGCTTCACGTGTTGCCTGCAGCACCTGGCCTTCTCAAAGACGACAGGTCAGAGCCGTGTCATACAGAGACCGGTCAGTTCACAGCCTGAGTCAGGTACAGACCGCATTCGTAAGAGACACAGTACATCAGAAACAGTCCGAGAGAGTTCGGTTCGGCAAGGCATCAGGTGGTGGAATTTTGAAAATCTTCAAAAAATAAAAAAATGCTGGAAATTGCCCAAAAAGCGCACAAAACCCCAAAAAATTGAAAAATTTCACCTTCAAATTTTTTTTCAAAATTTTCAAAAATTGTTGGGTTTGTGCGCTTTTCAGATAATTTCCATCATTTTTTGATTTTTCGAAAATTTTGAAAATTTTCAAAAGTATCCTAAAGAGATGCATGCCAGTCTCAGTGAAAGCCACATCCTGTCTCTGCCGGACTCGGCTTCTATCTCAACCAGCTGCTGCTTGCCTCGGTGTATGCACCAACAGGTCTCTGCACGTCCCTGGCTGCTTCTCGTGTTGCCTGCAGCGCCTGTCCTTCTCAAAGATGGCACGTCAGAGCGGTGTCATAGGGGTCTATATAGCCATGGATATAAAGGGTTCATGAATAGAAGTCATAAAAATACAATGTGTACATATCTGCCATCATTAATAGCAGCAATTAATAATTTTCTACTTCTTTTTCTCAAACATGGCAACACTGTTACTGACATGAACAAAACAGTAATATTAAAATGTCTTAATTTCATAAATATTTAGAAAGATCTTGTTATTATTACTTTTGAGCTTTGAATAAAACATACTATTACTGTGCTCAAACAATAGTTTTAATATCTTTCTTCACAGCAGTACCAACTATGTTACTTTGCAACATCTTGCATACTAATAGCACTTTCATGAACTGGATCTGTGGTCAATTTTCTTTGTCTTGAAGAGCAAGTTGGTATCCCCCATATCAGGATTGAACTCCTTGTCATACTTCATTCCTGGAGCCTATACAGAACACAGATCATGGATCAATAACAATCTGGAGAGCATTTACTCATTTTAATACATTTCTGGGGAGGGGAGGAGGTTATGCAGACTTTGCTAAATGAGAATATGACAAGTGATATAATATTTTGTGATCATTTTTGTAGGGTTCTCAAGTGCTGTGAAGTACTGAAGTGGTTTCATAAACATCTTTACAAACATAATGACTTCTTACATGGAACAGCAATGTCTAGTAAGAGGTAATTTTTACTTTTGCATGACATATAAAAGAAACACAATAAGATAAATGTTGTAATGAATTCAGTGTGTATTACTAGCAGAAACAAAGACAACTCAAATGTTACAACAGAAGCAAGTACTGTCAAATGGTGGTATTATGTGCACTGTACTGCCTTGAAATATGTCTGTCTGAAAAATAAAAAGTTTAAAGCAAGTTTCTTTTATTTTACACTTGCTGATTTTAGATATGTTTCATAAGATTAATCATATGATCCATGCCTTCCATCATATGTTCCAGGTGTATAATGTGTCAGTGGAAGTGGCTTTTCTGTAAATAATTAAATTAAATTTTCACAGGGACTGTCCAGCATTATGTTATCAAAATGAAACTGATCACATTTCTTTTGTCAACACTGAATGTTAATATTAGGAACTCAAGAAGTGTTCAGTTGATATTTGAATTTTATGGCTCATATATGAGCAAAACGTCATCTACATACCAGAAGTGGCAATTTTATACCTTCTTAATAAATGTACAGTTTCTCTTTGGGATAATGAATATGAACCTTACCTTAAATGTTTGAAATTAAAACCTCAGATAACTGAACTGCGATATAAAAATTAAATTGATTAGACTTAACAGCATTAATGTAATTATAAATTAGTTGCAAAGGTTAACATCTTAAATTCTCTCTACACCCTGCAGAATACTTTGCACACATGCATTTTAACTTACACATTGTCCACAATAAACTGCCCAAGGTATTCTTAATCTGTTAATGTAATTGGTGAACAACAGGTAAAACATTGCAGCATATTAATTTTATACATTTTATGTACAAAACTAGATATTATATACATTGCATTGATAAAATCTTTTATGAACTAACACAATACAAAATTATGTAGGATATGGTATTATGATACTCACATTGTGCCATATCTTTCTGAACTTGTGGGCATCATAAGCATCAAGAACCAACTCTGGGACATCAAATCGTGGAATTAGGAACGAGTACATCAAAATGTCTTTGTCATTGGTGTACCTACAAGGGATGATACAGGATACCATACACATAAATTCATACATTCCATCTTAAAACAAGAATGTAAAATTTGAGGTTTTCACAATGGTGAGTATGAAAAATTCTGTCTTCTGGGTTGTTGCGCTGTGTAGTCTGGTCGATGTTAACCAACGCCCTGATGACGGAGGCAGTATGACCTCTAAAACGTTGCTTAACATCGACCAGACTACACAGCGCAACAACCCAGAAGACAGAAATCTTCAAGAATGTAAAACTCTGGAATGTAAATAACTTCCTTTCCCATTACTGAGAACTGTGTTAAGTCCAGAAACTGTTCTGGTGGCTTGATACAATATTGTGTCATCGTGGAGGAATTAATTCTGTGCATCACTGTTTCCAAACAAAATGCTTCTTTTTGTAACAGAGTATGAAATTACAGATTTTATGTAATACTACATATGAATCAACTGAGATAAGCTCTTGGTAGAAACCCAGCATTAGGGAAGAAGGTCCTCAGAAAGACTGAATATATTCTGTTATGAAACATGTGCAACAGGCCACTGTAATATTTGGAAGAATGATTATGACCATACTTTCATACATTAGTAGATGCAATGGTTCATTTAGCAAATTTTTCCGTTTTATACATGTGTACAATAACACTGTTTGTATTTATCTACAACCAAAGAAAACAGTTCTTGAACAATTCTGAAACATAAATAATCAACTCTCATACCAAAAATTGACACATCTAGTTGTAACAATTGTCAAGGAATTGTGATACCGTGAAAAATTATCAACCAGATCATGATTAATGAAGAAATTCAAAATAATGAGTTCCCCTTCAATACCATGTAATTTTAAAAAAGTCTACCAATAAGAAACTTACAGCATCCTGGCAGTGTTCCAGTCCCACTCACACGGCAACTTCCAGTCATCCATCTTGGTGTCATACTTGTTGAATTTATCAAAGTTGATTCGCTCAATGTCCTCAATGACCACTTCCACATCTCCATAGCTGGACCAATCATAGATAAGCAGCTCTGAATGGGTGCTGGAGGAAATCATAAATATGTACAAATAAAGTTCAATATAACACTTTGTTTGTTTCCACAAACACAGGGCAATGATCCGCCAGAAATTTTAATTTTGAAGTTTATATCTAAGAAACTGGAAGTCTGCAAAATGACAAGTCATATCATGTTCTGCTCCAGAAAGGGAACTGGTACAATCCCAGCTTTTGCCTGGAAGGACTAAAGAAAACCACAAAAACCTCAAGTAAGATGGCTGGCCTCTGAAACTACATTTGAACCCAGAACCAACTGAATACAAAGCAGGAGTGATAACCAATTGTCTGTGATGTTCACGTTTGAGACTGACAATTGACATCAATATTGGTCACAACTCTATTTTTGGACCAAGACATTAGAATGGTAAATTTTGGACAATTATTTCTAGTGGTATTAAAATGTAAAATACATAATGGTACCTCTTAAATTTTTAAATAAAGAAGATGTAACATGGAACACGATCAAAATATGAGTAGAATTTTTGACTCACCCAATTTCCTTTAGGTAACGCTGCTTGTAGAAATACTCCATGTCAGACAAATACTGTGATGTGAAAACTTTTGAGTTGACCTCATGTGGGATGTTTCTATCTTTGATGCGCTGCTGCACAAGAGGCACTGGGATGTCCAGGTAGATCACAAGATGCGGCTTCATCAGCTCATCTATCGTATTGTTGTATATATCATAATACACGCTGTGGGCTGCAACAGTTAAAGACTGTCACTGCTCATTCTTGCAGCAACCTACATTTCCCAAACTTCATGAACAAACCAACAAATCTTGCACTGCCAGGTGGACTCCACTACACAACTGAGAAAACAAAATAGGAATATTTTAAGAACTTTAAATTATGCACATGCCTAAAAAAATCTGAAAGCAAATTCAAGAGCAAAGATTGCTTAAAGACATGTGTGGAAATGACAATGTCTGAATGCTTCTTTTGCATATCTATGTATTACCTAAAAATCAAAATACCAGAATGGAAATAATGAAATGGTGTATGTTCCCCTTAGACACTAGCTACAAACACATATTGTTTTCACAGAAATATCAAATAATAACTAGATATCTTTGAACAGCAACATCTGCAAATCTATAACTATGTATCACAATGTGATAAACTTTAGTGGCTTTGACTTCTTTATAAAGACATCTATAAATAATTTTTCAGCACATGCTTGGAGCAAGATACTTACAATATCCTTCATAAAGTGAGCCTCTATAAGGTCTTGTAGGCTGACTGCAATTAATTTCAAATCAAGTAATGATAAGCATTTCTCTGCAGGAAACATATTTCAAACTGTTCACTTTTGCCATTGGCTAAAACTGTGATTTGCAGGGCAGAACTTCAACTAAAGTATAAACTGTCAATTTCAAAATATTCACATATAAATACAGAAAAAATTCAGAACACTTCAGAAAATAACAGACAGTGGTGCATGGGGTCTGCTGATGATGACAGTGATATGCTCCTTTCACTACCATTAACATCAATATAAAGTTTCTATTTACATACTCACCCCCTTTGCTTATGTAGCCAGCCTTGTGCATGGTTTCTAAGAACACAAAGTCACTGTAGACACATCTCTCCAGAACAACTCCTTGTCCTGCAAATAAGGCAAAATATTAAAATATCAATCATTTTTGGTGACTGATTCTCAGGTAATTAACATACTCATCTACATATCTGGAGCCTGGCCATTCTGTCCGTGAGACAAGTTCTTACAACAATAGTTTATACAAGATGATTGTATTCTGAGTTGATGCAGAAAGTAATATGGTAGAAATTTACCAACATTTCAGAGGTACTTGCTACATCCAACATCAGGTCAAACTTTTTACCCTGATGATGGAAGCAGCAAGAATTGTATTGGTTTAAGTTTCATGATTTTAACACAGTACTATATGTTTTATTCTGTAACATCAATGGATGTAAGATTAATACATTACCAGAAAACATGAGAGTTGGGTTAAAATGTTTGTATTTGGTCTAGTATGAAAAGATGTCAATTTGTTAAGTAAATAAGAATGGTTTGGACACGATTTATTTTTGCCTCTATTAAGAAATCTTAATGATTTTGTTAAAATACGTAGACTGTAGATCTTGCTGGCTGCTCATTCATTCTGCACAGGCATATAAAAACATATTTAACTTCACCAATGCTTTGACAGGATGGGGACAGAAAGGTAGAAATATGGTGACTAAAGTCATTAATCACCAGTACCACCACAACAATAATAGAACTTGCCACGGATTAAAAAGTCATGCATGCATACATATTAAAACATAAAATTACGGTTTTACTGGTATTATAAGGCAATATTTCTGTACACCTGCTGACTTGCATATACAAATACACACCTGTGTTAAGCAGATGAGCCAATGCATCAATATATTTAGAATATCGTAACTGATACTTCAGTATTTGGAAACTGGCTGCAAATTCATGATTTGGTTCTATACAGAAACTCTTTTCATCGAAACTCCTGGCTGCTGCTGGTAACTCTGGATCTAATTTCCTTAAATCATAACCATAACTGTTGATATACAAATCATCCATTGTAACCTCAGGCATATGTAACATGTCTAAATCTTCTGCCAGACTCTTGGCAAAAGCTGATTTTCCAGCGGCAATGGGTCCCTCAACAACAATAATTTTAGTGTTTTCATCAAATCTGTGAGTTGTTGTATCTTGTAACCATGCGCGCCACAGGTTGTACCTTTTAGTTTTGTACGGAAATGGAGCAGGCCTAACCTTGTTTTTATCCCTAAGGACTGAGCCTGAAATACATGCTGCCTGAAGAGGAAATACTCCTTTTAAATTAATCTGCAGGAACGGTTTACTAACTGCAGTAGCACCTGAAGGTGTTGCAAGAATTTTGCATACACCTGCTCGCATGCTAATCCAAGCCATTTTAACTAGTTTTACAAACACAGTACTTATAAACGCATGAAGCTATTCTTTAAATTAAAACTTCACGTTATCGAAAATAAACTAATAACGTAACAATTTTCTATTCTCTACTGTGACCCAACCAACTTTTTTACTCCTACAAACCGATCGAACTGCCTTTCAGAACTACCAAGCTTACGAAAGTATGTTTCCCTACTGGAAGTAATTTCTTCGCATGACAAAGTTAATCATTCCGCCACTAGAGTATGCTGAATCACACTACCTACTACATGAATCGCTTTAGATTCATTGCAATTGCATCATCGAAAATTTTCAATTGAATATGAATCGATGGTCGACAATTTCCAGTGTCGTCTATCCTTTTCTCTATTTCTTGCCACCCCCCCCCCCCCCCCCAGTTAAGAAAAAGAAGATATTTTCTGCTGGCAAAAATTTCACAATAATTTTTTTTATTATTATTATTCCAACTATTCGCCACTTTATAGGGTATTTACTTCTATGTACCCGAGACGAACCTTGCCCCTGAGATACATAGTGCAGCAGCTATTTCTGAAATACATTTTGTTTTTAATACATGTTAACTAACTAACTAGATGGCTTACCGAACCCGAAGGTTCATCACCGAATTAACCAAAGCCCTCCACCGGACCCTGTCCTGGGCCAACAAAATCCAGTTTCCTTCAACTCCTATCTCCCATAGATCCCGCCTGAGATTATCCTCCCATCTTCGTCTAGGTCTCCCCAGCGGTCTCTTCCCTTCAGGTTTCCCAACCAGTACCCGGTGCACACCTCTTGTCCCATCCATGCGCGCTACATGTCCCGCCCATCTCACTCTTCTCGACTTAATCACCCTCACAATACTGGGGGAGCAGTACAGATTTTTAAGCTCGTCATTGTGCAGTTTTCTCCACGCCCCATCGTCTTCCCTCTTAGGCCCAAATATCCTCCTCAACACCCGATTCTCAAACACCTGCAATCTGTGTTCCTCCCTCTGAGTGAGAGACCATGTTTCGCACCCATACAAAACAACAGGCAAGATTATTGTTTTGTATACTTTAATTTTCAGGTTCTTAGAAATCAGACGGGAAGACAAAATATTTTGGACTGAGAAGTAGCAAGCATTTCCGGAATTTAGTCTCCTCCTAACTTCCTCACAAGTATCATTTTGATTTGTTATTGTTGTTCCCAAATATTTGAACTTTGTAACCCTTTCAAAGGATTTATTAGCCACCCTAAGATAATTTTGCTCGCCTGTCTTCTGATGACGAGATACTAACATGTACTTAGTTTTTTCTGAATTTACTTCCAGCCCCACTTGTCTACCAGCCTCTAGTAAAACTTCTGCGTTCCTCTTTATTGTATTTATATCGTCCCCCAATAAATTAATATCATCAGCATATGCCAATAGCTGATGTGTCTCGTTCAATTGCAAACCCTCCTGCCTACCTTGGACCTTCCTGATGGCGTATTCTAGCGCAAAGTTAAAGAGCAAGGGAGACAAAGCATCTCCTTGTTTTAGACCGTTCTTGATGAGGAATGTCTCAGATACATATTTACCTACTCGAATTTTGCTGCAGGTTTCATTTAAGCTTTTAATACATGTTACATGTATTATATAGTTTTATTGTGAGGGATGACTATATATTTTATGACAGCATCTTTCGAATGATGTATGTAGATCCTAAAATGGCAGTTTTCTGAAGTTCCCTGGTGTTGTGTTCACCCAGGACGCTGGCAAAATATTTTCTGAGTGACTTGGTTGTTATTGTTATTATTATTCACATGTTCTAGCACCTGGCTGAACCATATTGTTCTGGGACAACCCGCAGGTCTCTTTAATTTTAAAATATTCAATTATCCTTCTTGGTATCCTTGATGTAGCATTTCTTTTTACATGGCCAAATCATGGCAGTCATTTCTCTTCTAATACTATTATGAAATTTTGTTTTAAAACTAATTTTGTAACACTTTTATTTTTAATTCTACCTATTATTGTTATACATATAACTAGTAGAACCTGAAGGTTCATCACAAAATTAACAAAAACCCTCCACTGGTCCCTGTCCTGAGAATTGTTATTTATACAGAGTGAGTCAGAAGTATGTTTACAAACTTCATGTGCATGTTCCAGGATCAAAAATAAGAAAAAATGTTCCTTTGAACATGGGGTCTCAAATGTTTCATTTTCGAAATAATAGCCACAAATAAGTTTCAATGAATGACTTGATATTAAAGTGAATCCAGCTTCCAGTAAAGATTTTCAATGAACGTTTGGGTAGGAACTGTTGGCAACATGATTATTGGTCCACACATGTTTCCATCACATCTAAGAGGACCTTCATATCAGTGATTCTTAAGAAGGCACTTGCCATGTCTCCTTGAAGATGTACCACTTAATACAAGAAGACAGATGTGGCTTATGTACAACAGAGCCCCAGCACACTTCTCCCATCGTGTCAGAGATCATCTCAATGAACAGTACTCTCAGCGATGGATTGGACGCGGTGGCCCAGTAGCATGGCCACCGAGGTCGCTGGAACTGACTCTATTTGGCTTTTATCTGTGGGGTCATTTGAAGTCCGTCATTTATATAACACCCATAACCAATGATGACAACCTATGGGAACATGTGCAGAATGCATGCATGATGATTCGAGGAAACCCTGGTGTGTACTAACGAATTCACCAGTCTTGTGTATGTCATGCTCGGGCATGTGTGGAGAATGAAAGAGCAACATTTGAGCATAGGTTATAAATAAATATTCCTTATAACTTATTTTTGGATATTATTTTGAAAAAGAAGCATTTGTGACCGCATGTTCATAGGAACATTTTTTCTTATTTGTGACCCAGGAACACACACACAAAGCTTGTAAACATACAAGTGTTTGTGTGCAAAAAAATACAATCTGCTAGTATATTTGTATTTAGCAAACAAAATTCTTTCATAAATTTTTTAACGGTGACTAAAAATGCTGTTACTCTACAATTATGGCACAGATTCTTGTCCACATTCTTCTATCGTTTGCTTTCACCAAACATTTCAAAAAAATACATGTCAATAAGAAATAAATTTATTATAAACAACCCTGAAAGAAATATAAGAACAGGTATCACCACCAAGTGATGACAAGAAAAGGTTTAATAATTGCTAAAATTCTCAAAATAGGAAATGATGCCAATTACATTACTGGGCGGGCCTAACCCACCTATTTGATGATTAACACATTAAGAACTATGTCAATAAAGCAAGATATCGAGGAGTTCCTTATATTTCATCTTGAAATGTTTTGAAAAGCTTTTGATCCAGTCAAGAGAATTTACATGGTATTTAATATCAAAAGTTGTAATACCAGGAATAATAGTTAATTTGATCAAATTTATGCATCAAAATTACTACTGGGCACTATTATGAAATCTACAAGGGATTACATACAAACATTATTGAAGCTGCTTGTGGAGTAAAATGGGTGTCTTATTTTTCATTGTTAAGGATTAAATAATGAGAAATGCGGTAAAGAAAAGGTGAAAAGATTGGGATGTGCCAAAAGACATCTTTAGTTTCTCTTTCTATCACAAAGAATACTACTACACTATTATACTACTCACACCCCATAAACAAACAATTCTGGACTTAATACTATGAGTCCTTTACATAATTCTGAAATTAAATATATAAGAATTGAATTGTTATCTGACATTAGATCCCATATTATACCTCATCATCTGGAAAAGACTGTTTCTTATCCTGGCCAACCCTAATAAAGATATTTAAAATAGGAATTTTCTTGTCCAGTTGAGTGACCATCAGCTTCACATGAACTTACTCTGCTCCATACAGTGTGGTAACTTGTTTGCAGTACAGATTAAATATATTTTTGATCATGACTGAGAATGCCAGGTAGCTCAGTCAGTACTGTGGTCATCAGGGTTTGATCCCCGACAGAGGCAGAGGACTTTCTTCTAGCCTCTGCATCCAGATCAGCTCTGGAGTCCACTCAGCCTCCTGTCCAATGGTACCAGGGTACTTTTTCAGGGGTAAAGCATGGCCAGGGCATACTGCTGACCACTTACCCATTTCTAGGGCTGAGTATCAACATTTGGATGTAACGGGACTGCTTTACTGTCATGACAGAATTAAGATAACTATTTACTTCTCTGTGTAGATTGCACTTTGATGTGGATATTGAAGCAGTTTATGGCATAAAGTGAATATCATAAAATTCTTTCCCCCCCCCCCTTTTTTTTTTCTTTTGATATAATTCTTTCAAATAAATCTGGGCATCTGGTTTCAGATACTTGCAATGAATCAATTCATGAACCTCACCATATGATGAAGCTGGCAACAGCTATAAAATCTGTCAGTGTCAAAGAATCTATGCTTTTGACCTGGTGAATATGAGTGGGATACCACTCACTGTTGCCAGCACACTGGCTCTTGTACTCATAACCAATGGTATTGGTGTGTCTTTGCAAGGCTTTACTTCAAACTGGTACAGAATGTGAACCAGTGCTGTCTTCACTGCCATGAGGCCAAATCTCCGACCTGCAACATACACGCTGAAATATCACATACAAGTTTCTATTACATCAATATGTATAATAAGCAGCAGCTTTTCTGGATAGATATATTAAAAATTAACATTTGTTATTAGGTAACGTGTGTGTAAAATGAAAAAAACTATATTATGATGACTGACTAAAATATAGAATTACATTTTGATTTTATGATGATGATCGGTGGATCACAGCATCTGAGCATAGAAAATTATGTGGTTGGAGATTGTAATCAGTTTCATAAAATGTGTCTTCTTTAATTGTTCCCTGTTTATTTTCTTTTATACTCACATACAGAAACAAGCTGAGAAATTGTTCTAGAAGTAAATGCATATAAATCTAAATGTATGTTTATACCTCATGACCAGACTGCAGGAAAAAGTTGTAATATAAAGATAGTTAACAAATCCTTCAAATATGTAGAAAAGTTCAAGTATTTCTGAACGATGCTAACAAACATAAATTACATTCAAAATGAAATCAAAAGCAGGCTGAGTTTGAGGAACACTTGCTACAATACAGTTCATAACTTTTAGTCTTCTTGTCTGCTATCTACAAGCATAAAGATTAAAATATACAAAATTATAATTTTACCTGTTAGTTTAGATGGGTGTGAATCTTGGTCTTTTACATTAAGGGTAAAACAGATGCAAACATATAGATCATATGAGACCTGACCAAGTGAAAACGTGTTTTAGTCTCCTGTCACTCATTCAATCTTTAGTCCAAATATGCTACTTATTAGGCTGTCTTTTGGGTTGTAGTGCCATGTACTCTGGTAGAAGCTTACCAACAATTCAATGATCCTTGCTGCCTCCATCATCAATTCCTACTAAAACTTTGGTCTCAAACACTCTCAATCTGTTACAAAAGTATGTGTTCTTTAATCCATATTAATCCATGTAATCATCATAAAGACACATATATCAAAACATTACCAATGCAATTGTGGGGGCCATCTCCAAAGGGAAGGTAGGTGAATGGTTTCTGCAGCCTCTTGCTTTCCTCCTCAAACCTCTGAGGGTCATAGAACTCAGGGTCAGGGTAATATTCAGGATCCCTGTGGAGTCCCAGTAGAGCGATGAACACTGGTGTATTCTTCTCTATGATTAGGTCTGAACCTGGAACATTGTAGTCCTGGAGACAAATCCGGTCCAGCAGGGGTAGTGGCGGGTACTTCCGAAGAGTCTCTGTGGACATATTTTAATCTTGCAATTATGAATATGTAACCCTAATTGAGGTAACAACATAGATAAATATAAAATTATTAAATAAGGATAAGAATGGAGAAAAGTAAATGCAGAGAATTGTAAACAATTGAACATTAAAGTACCTGTACTGAGGTGATGACCATTTATGAAGAAAGACTGGTTTTTTGATTTATAAAACAGTAGTTCTAAAGTAACTGACTCACCGACTTACCGACTAACACTGCTGAAACATTTTTGGTCCATTCATAACTACATCTGAAAATTTGATCTTTAGGAGATTGTCTAATATTTATCACTACAATTCAAATTTTTTTAAAACCTGACATCAATAGCAGACACTTCAAAAGAATACCAACATGAATTCCTACAGGAATCCCCATTGAAATCTTCAGCGACTGAGTTGCAACCCAACCAGACATGTGACAGACAACCGCCACACAAAGGTCAAAGGCTCAAGAAAACTGATGCCACAGATGTCATTCACGCAGATCAAATTCTGGTGAGCATGCCAGAATTGTTATACTATGCATACATTTATCCTTGTTATTTGCTATTTATAGCAGCGACAATTGTATACGAAAACCTTAGAATTCTGTAATGTAATTCGGAACAGTTAGTTTATGCCAGACAGAATAATACCTGAAACAACCATTCCAAGATACTTCATGTTCATGACATCTTCATATGTTGGTGATCTATTGGTCTTATTCATGACCTCAGCAATTTCTGTTCTAAGTCGCTTCTGGAGTTGAGGTTGGAGGGCTAACTCATACAGTGTGAAGCTCATGGTTGTTGCATTGGTTTCAAATCCAGCTGTGAAGAAAATTGCTGGCTGGGCCACCAGATTGTCCCCACTGAACTCTAGAAACACACCAGTGTATATGGGACTCAATACAATAAATATTTGCTAAATATTATTATATTTGTGAAAGAAAATTAAATCTTTAAAACAAGCTTAAGGTATGAATTAAGAGTTGGATGATAAGAAAATTCATCCCACTTTTACCTCCAATTTCTGCATAATTTGTCGCAAATGTCGCCAACAAAATTATTCTTTACTAACTCACCTTTTCAAGGCCCATAAATTCTGTTTAACATTTTTAAAATTAATAAGCTGGTGCAAAATTGAATGTGATGTATAAATTTGTATATTCATTTCAATGAAAATATTTCTAATCAGAAGATAACTTTTCAAATGAACAGAAAAAGTTATTAGAGTTCGTTACTGTAATAATTTCATGTTGATGTTTCATGTTTTAACGATGCAATGCAAAGTAGCTTACTTATTTCTTGTACAGCTTACCAAAGAGTGATGAGCTTTTGTCCTCTTTTAGGCCATTCTTTTCTTCAGTCTCACTACCCTCAATGTGACCAGTGTTCTTTAGCTGTATCAGCAAGTTAAGAAAATCTTCTCGAACAATTTTGTTGCTCTCCCGATAATCAATTACGTCCCAGAAAGCCTTCCGAAGGAACTCGGTTGCGTCCTTTGAGAAGAAACGTCCATGTAGAAAAGACATAAGTGAAGGAACAAAGAAGAGACCTAATATTTCCAGAGTGCGAAACCATGTGAAATGAAATATCTTCTTCCCAAATTTTCTGAAATCTGCTTTAGGATCTTTAAGCGAGTTGGACCCAATTCCAAATGCACAAGTCGATATCACATCTGTCGCATACTTGGCTGTTGTCTCCTTCACCTCAACGGGCTCTTTCTCTCCAAAATTATCCAACAGGTGGTCCACCAACTCTGTGGCACAGTTTGTAACCAGAGGGAACATTTTCTTCATGCGTCCAGATGTGAATGTGGGTGACAGTTTCATACGGAGATACTTCCATGGTTCACCATTCAGTATAAACAGATTCTGGGCACCCAGAGTATCACTTTTTGATGTAGAAGCATGACGGTCAGCAAAGATATTGAAGTCCTTCACCAAAATATGTTTGATAATGTCTGGGTCACGGATCACAATTGCAGGCCTGAAAAAGTATGTAAGTTACAGCTGATATACTAAACAAGTATTCTAATTTCTTAATGGAATGATGTATATAGGCAGCCAGCATAATTTAGGTCAATAAAGTATTTTTTTACGTTCATTACAAAACAAAAATTTGTTACTTTCCACACTTACTCACTCACCATGGCAATTCAACCTCTGTTCCTGAAATTAGGGCTAAATAGTTTTAATATCAACTAGAACTGGCTGTGATGTCTACTACAAAAAAAAAATTCAACATCTTAAGAACATTTTCAGTTCACAACAAAATAAACTACCTACTATTGCAAGTGCAATATAATATTACCAGTTTTATATGAAAGCACTTATTCAAAACTAAGAATAATAAAAAATGCAATTTACATTATCTATACAGCATAGAAGTTCAGAATTGGATTTTTATGTAAGTATTTATTGTTAAAATTTGTCAATAAATATGTCATGTTATGATTAATCCAATATTTAAATTGAAAAGAGATAAAAAAGAAAAGATGAACTCATACTCAGTATGTGAAGTCCAATTAAAGACAAAAATAATATGTTTATCCATGTGGTCTGAGAATTTAGACGAATTCTGTAAAGAAAATACAGATCACCACTTTTCTTTGGTGTATATGGCCTTTCAAAGTAGAGGTAGCCCTCGATTTGCGCCGATTCAGAATAACGCCGATTTTGAAACCAGCAAGTCAAAAAGTGAAAAAAAAAAATTCTATTATTTATAAAGTTTTACAATGTATCTCGTGCTGACTCTTATACTAAATCGTAATTCTTACATCGCTGATTTTGAATAAAAATTATAAATACAATTATCTCTGCAATTACGTATGTTTCGTTAACTCGAATTTGCTCCAATGAGATCGATGAATCGGTAAAAGCTGTTTGTGAAATGCAAACTTTTGCATATGCGAGTTTGTTCTTATGCAATTTTATTCCTGGCGCTTTAAGCTTTCAAAGGACTAATTTAATTTCTGCGGAGGTACCAGAGTTATTTTTACTACTCGTCTTACGTGAATGCAACTATCGCATAATAGCAGAGATGACTGTACACATCAATCACATGAAAGAATCGCAGTCAATCGCGGGACAAACGAATTGCCGATTGTGAGTGCATAAAATATATTTTTTTAAAATTACCTTTATTCTATTTACGTTATTTCAGAGCTTTAAATGTAATGCTAATATATTACTCATCAATGTTTGGTTGCTGGAAACGCATGTCATTGACTTCCCATTGATTTACATTATAAAAGTTTCAATTTACGCCGATTCCTTTTACGCCGGTTCGTACAGGAACGCATCCCGGCGTAAATCGAGGGCTACCTGTACTTTCCTTCAACCTTTACATTAATAAATGCATTCATTAGTATTTACTAACAAATTTATTTTGTTTTGTTCCTTCTAGCCTAAGGAGTAACAGAGTTTAGAAACTGCTCAATTAAGTACTAACATACTGATCCTCTACAGTGAGTGGCATGTGTTCAATCTACAATGATAGACACAGAACTAAATTACCTGCCAAAGATGTAGAAGCCAACATATGGTTGTCCCTCTCCAGCCTTGTACACATCTTGTAAAATTTGTCCAGGAGATCGTTTCTGTAACATTGGCATGAGGAAGTTTCCAAACAAAGGGATTGGTTTTGGAGTCATGACACCCCTACGCTTCCAATAGGTAAACTTATTGACATAGTAGAGGTAGACAGCAACCAGTAGAGAGAAAAGCAGAATGCCTATGTCACCGACAGCAGAGCCGGTAAGTGCTGCCATGATGAATCTGCATAAAAAGAGCAGAAATTTTAAGTAATCCAGTGACAAACAGATGCAAGGGAGGGCTCTAGGTTATAATACACATTTATCTTAAATATCTTGACTAGAGTCTGCGTCAGGTAAAAACTCAAGAGTAAATGAAACCCTTCAACTTTACGCCACTTAGTTTTAGATGACTCAAATTCCTTCACTGCCTTATAGTAACACAATCTTGTGGTAGCGCAAATATATTCTAACTCCCTCCTTCGCACTGGTACTCTTTCGTAAACTAGACAACTACATTATGTAATTATCTGGTTTTAGAACGTACTACTCATATATTTTATTTTCACACAAAACATTAAAGTGTATGGTATGGACTAGTGCTAGACCACAGTCTCAAAGTGTCGTAGTTGGAGGAGGAATACACTTACGTGTCGAACACTACTCACAAAACCTCAATATATCGTCAAGTCAGTTTCAGTTACGTCCAGTATTACACACGTCCATTATTTTATTCCGTCTATTAATGCAGGAAGCCAAAAATTATGTACCTTTACAGTTGACAACTCCTTATTTGGCTACTGGTTAGAGCAGGTCTGTTGATAGCGGAAGACTAAATGTTTAAATCACTTAAGAATACTTTCAGTAATTCCCACGACGTACCACCGTCAGTTCAAAATGATGCTGTGTTGTAGATAACTGCTATTGCAAATACAAACCCACTCAACTGAGAAAACCAAGAACACGTTACTAGCATACTGGAATGTAAGAGTGAACTACAGTCACCAATTTTATTTTACTGTTTAATGGAGTGATAGGCTGTATCAAGGCAAGCGAAATATGGTAATACTTTTCGTGTGTCTGTAAAGAATTCATGTAATATAAAATATATGTAATAACAAAATCTGTGGGTCTAACTTGTGCTTAAAAATGAACATAATCTTGCTTGCTTCAAAGTAAATAACTCTTTTTGGATGAAGTAATCAAACATAATTATTTGAAATTATAACCTTTATAATGTTAACTTTTTCTCTAAATCCCAGACATAATATCTGATTAGTCTTGTTTACCACGACACTGTAAAATACATTCTTTTACAGGTCAGACAAAATGCACAGTCAACAAAACCTTTCAATAAAATGCGACATATTTCATTTTCAATTCCAAGCTACAGATTATGGCCAAAGCTCACAAAATGTAACATCAAAGGTCATGGGAATTAGCGTCAATGTGATTAGCCAGATGCTGTCCTGCTGCAGTTTAAATTAATATTTACCAACTAGGCTTTAGGAATTAATGATGATGATGGAGGCAGCAAGGACCTCTGAAACATTTGTAAACTTCTACCAGATTACACGGTGCAACAACCCAGAAGACAGCAATCTTCAGGTTGTCGACAGCCTAAACCGTGGAATGCCACACTAACATCACAAAACTAACGCCGATCTTCAGCATTTCATACAAAATATTAGAAACAATCACTTTCGGTTTATGAAATAATGTGGCACTGACAGAATGAGAATTTAATTACAATATTAATGTTGTTGGTTATTCTGTGACTTTGATCTTAACGGTCAGTGTCATTTAGTTCCATCCTTATTGACAACAGGAACACATTTATTAACCTTTCACCGTGACGCAGCTCTGTTTAATCAAATTTGTGAAGTTTATTTACCTGATTGTTTGTTTTCCTTCCGTCTTCTGTGGCACAAAAACATAAAAGAAGTCGCAGCTGAGTGATTAGCCCCCCTGATTCTTATTCCGGAGGTTCCGGTTTCAGATTTCGTCCCGCACTCTACGTGATATGGCGCTCTTAAATAAGATGTAATGAAATATCGTGAAAACGAACACATTGTCAAAAAAGTAAGTAATAAGAAGCACGTGTCTCATTACTTAATATGACTTTTATTTAAACAATATAGAATTGATGATAATTTTAAGATACGTTTCCAAAATTACATTTATTCCGCAACTGTTTCGTAAGAATTTAAATACCCTTCAAAACGATCTAGAATTAGGACGACTGAAGCGAACTTTTAAACGAACTTAGAACTAATATATTTTACGATAGACTTGTGTTTAAAGAGTAAGAAATCTGTTTTTGACGAAAGCGTTCTTGCTAATTAACCTCTGGCCTCAGCATCTCTTTTTCAAAGGTGCTAATTTGCGCTAAACACCATAATTAAATATCTGGTATAATATCAGTTATTATATAAGACTTACAAAAACAGTTTCTAAAGAAATTATTTTTTCCCATCTGCCTATGTCGCAGTCTGTCGTGTATATTCTCAGAATATCCAATTAGAATGTTAGTCCTTGAAAAAGTACACGTAAACTGAGTTTCATATTCAAAGTAAATATTACACTGCTCCCGTTGGCTTAATTACAGTAAAAGATAAGTACATGAAAACCAATTTGTGTAACGGATGCATTCGAACAAAGGCGGCATATGTGTCACGTAGCAATAGCCTACTTTGAAACCAGTAAATGTAAAAGTCTAAAGTATTAATTCATTAGCCCATAGATCTTTCAGAAAAATCCTGACTGTAACTAGATCTACCGAAGATCAATATCACATAGAGAAAATTACGTAACGAAGAGCTTCACGGTGTTTAGTATCTAAAGACCGGTTTCGGGATTTGGTTTTCAAGCATTATTTATAAATTGTTGGTACATTCTTATTACTCTTCGTGCAGGGCTATGTTATTCCAAATCCTTCTCGCAATGCACAGCCTATCTGCATTACTCTTATCACCAGTGATTCTACTTCCTGCGTCCGTCCTGGCAAAAATAATTTCTGTCGTCTCCATTCTTCTTGTATGTTCCTTCGTCAACATCGGACGTAAGAGTAAAGAAGCGACCGTTTCTCTCTATAATTTTAGTAATGTTCGCTTTCGGTATTTCTATAGTAATGTGCGTTGTATAGGCCCACAGAACTGATAAAATCTGTTTAATTTTATGGGATTATTACTTCACTTTCTTTATAATATCCTTCAGCATAACAACCGAAATTTGTTATTTAAGTATTTTATTGACAGAATAATCCTTGAAGTTACCGGTTCCTTTCCTATGTAGAAATGTTTCATATTACGTTATGAATTACATATTATATAATTCATAAACTGAACTCTTAATATTATAATGCCTACGTATGACTGTGTATAAATCAAAGGAGAAAGCACATGGCCTATCGAATTGCATTAAATTGTGTTACATAGCTCACTCATATTCCTAAATATCTCCCAGTGTTCGTGCCAATTATTACTTCCATAATTACGCTTAAGAAGGACAGCTGTTCTTTGAGTCGTTTTTCTTTAGTTAATTTTTCCAAGTTTTTATTTGAAATTCTGCTATATTTTATATTGTAACCTATACGAGAGATTCAGTTACGTTCGTACTTCAGATTCTCCAAGCGTCTGGTTACAGAACACAGACATTCGCAGGATTGCAAGAGAGAAACTGTTACAGAAAGAATCCGACTTAAAGCAATCTGCAAGAAAAGAAAATTGGAGTACAAAATAAATCGTTGGTATAATAAAATTCGAATAATTCAACGTGTAATACGATTCTGAAGATATTCATGTGTTTGTCATTTAAGATTCTAATCTGATTACGAAATAAATAATCTTGAGAACAAAATCCACGCATCATCTTAAGAATGGCGCTGCTGATTCAGGAGCTAATACTTTGTCTGATATTCATCTTCGCCCTCTTCTTTATTGTATTGTACCTTTACTTCACACGAAACTTCAACTTCTGGAAAGAACTCGGCGTCCCTTATGTAAAACCCGTGCCATTTGTTGGCAATCTAAAGGAATTGGTGTTCCTGAAAATAGGAATAGGGCCTTATCTTGAAAACCTCTACAAGGACCACAAAGACAAACCCTACGTGGGCATATTCGCATTCGATCAGCCGAGTTTGGTGATCCGTGATCTGGAAATAGTGAAGAACATTCTGGTGAAGGATGCACAGAACTTCATCGATCGCAAAACCGCTTTTAACGAAAGATTGGACCCCTTTTTTGGGAAAACCATGTTTACGTTGAAGGGACAACGCTGGCGCCATATTAGGGTAAACTTAACTCCTGTGTTCACATCGGGTAAGATGAAGATGATGTTCTACTTGGTGAAGAACTGCGCCAAAGAACTGGCTCAATACCTGGACAGGGAAACGGCAGAAGGTAAGCGGTCTTCGGGATTGCATGATAGTTGTATGGATACAAATTAATGTAAGGTTCAACACTTGTGCGAGCGTCACATTTTCACTGGCTAAGGAAATTTACATTTTTGCAAAATAAATTATTATTCCTGTTTTTATAAAACTGAGTTACAGAATGGATAATATGGATTTAACAATTTATAAATACAATCAACTTGATTTCAGAAAAGATTCATTACACGTATGGACAATTGGATATCGTTGTGGAATCTCTTAAAAAGCACTAGAGCCTTACCATTTACTAAATAGGAGAAACGAATTACTGGAAGAAAACAATACTTTTCCTCTTTTTTTTAAATTACTGGATTCCGCAAACGTTAGCAGGTTTTTTTTCTGAAGAGAAATGTTTCAGCATGACGCCAGTAAATTTTATGACAAGGACTAAAACAACGCTATCTCTCATATGTTTAATTTACGAAAGTCAAATGCTGTCGTGACTAGCTACGGGGTGGATGACCGGGGTTCGATCCCCGACGGGGGCAGAGGATTTTTCCTCTAGCCTCTGCGTCCAGACCGGCTCTGGGGCCCACCCAACCTCCTCTACAATGGGTACCGGGGGGTCCTTTCCCGGGGGTAAAGCCGGCCGGGGCGTGATGCTGACCACTCACCCCCATCTAGTGCCGAGGTCAAGGAAGAGAGGAGCTATACCTCCACTCACCCCAAACGCCTACATGGCGTATAGTGGGACAAAGTTTACTTTACTTTACTTTACCAAACTCAGCAACTGCATATGAATACCTTAAGCAAAATGTGTTTGAATCTTAGAATACTCGTTTATTATTCTTGAAACTGACAATCTACAATACCTAACAATAACTAACACAACATAATGCAACCTAACCTAACCTAACAGAGCCTGATCGAACCTAACAAAACAGAATCTATTAAAACCAAAATCATACAAACACAACTCAACCTGAACGAACCTAACCTTCTGATGTAATCGAACCTTTCCTAATCTAACCTAATCTCACCTCACCTCTCCCAAACCAGCGTAATCTAACTTAACCAAACCAAAGAGAAACAAACCCAACCCAACCTTGTGCATTCGATTAAAACAAATTAGAATATCGTGGGGCGTTGTACAGTTTGCTACCATAATAGAATCTTAATACTGTTGTGTGACCTTTTAGACCTATCTGTTCATTCTTCAGACGCTGTTTTCCGTGATGAACGCTTGAGACACACTGACGTAACACGAAACGCGTATCTACAAATAATAAGATCGTCGCAGTGTTTGGGGAGATAGGCATTTTCTAAGGTGCATGGTGTAATAAATTCTTTGTCTTTAAATGTTAATAGGGCCCGTCGTGGAGGTGAAGGAAGCGATGGGTAGGTTCACCACCGATGTAATTACGTCGTGCGCCTTCGGTATCGACAGCAACTCACTGAAGAATCCTGAAGCAGAATTCAGGCGTTACCTGAGGAATATATTCGGCCCTTCCGTTCGACAGGAAATCGTGTCACTGATGGCATTCTTTGCACCTCATTTCCAGAATTTTATCAGGCTGAAGTTTTTGGATGACAATACGTCTAATTTCATTAGACGAACGGTGTGGAGGACTGTGGAGTATAGGTGAGAACTTGTCAGCAACTGACGTATCTGACGTGTGCATAAAGTTAACAATATTAATATTATGAGATTTTATGTTTTCGTGTCAATGAAACTATCGATGTCGGTCTTCTGGGTAGCAACGTTATGTGGAATTCTAGGCAGATACCTACTCTCAATCGTATCAGTATTACTATAAACAAAAAATGGAAATGCAAGCATTTTACAGTGTTCACTGCATTTCAACATCAACTTTTATAAATGTAACAGTACTGACAAGCATATCGTGTTAGACGAGACGGTTTTTCTCCAAACTTGTTTTTTAGTGGAGGGAAAAGCCACACTTTACTAAGACCTAGGTGCATGTGCGAAGATAATATTATAACGAACCTTAAAAAACACTAATCATATGGCTCAGGATTTTGTGAACACGGCAAAGAACTTACGGTTCCCGTAATGAACGTAACATCTATTGACTCTTTGCGTGTACTATCAGAAATAATCTTCCATATGGAGTTAGTTCCTGGTCTAAGTTAGGCAATGTTATCAATGTGATATATTTTTGTCTTCAGGGAGAAAAATGAGATATCCCGCAAAGACTTCTTGAATTGCATGATCGAATTGAGAAATAAAGGAAAAGAACGCACCGAAGAGAACAAGCAACCCGCAGACAGCTCGAAGAACAATCCCAAGTTCAGTAAGTTTATACATTTCATTGTGAAGCCACTGCAGTTGGGCGATCGCCGTGTATCTAGTACACTTGCACTATGTGTACCAAAACTAAGAATCTCGTAATTTCTGGTAATAAAACAGACGGAAATCTTGCGCCCAACTCACATAAGCTTCAACCAGCTGACTAAAAACTCCTGGATGGCTGGAGATCACGAGTGATGAATTTTATCAAATCACAAAAGTAAGACTTTCTACAAATGAATTACGTGGAACTCATGCTAACGCTACTTTGATCAGGAAGCCTGAATTTTAACGCTGTTAAAAGGCGCCTCATTATAATCATGTGCTATTACTTAAATACGGGAGCAGACAAAGCCCCAGAAACCTTCAGAGTCCAGGGAATTTACTTGCATCTTGATACCAGACCATTTTCACACAGCATTTAAAACACATCAAAGTTTTGCCCTCTTTCGATAGCACACGTCCTTATAGTAAGAAAGTTACTAAATTACTATGTATGATTTGAGGTTATAACAGCGGTGAGTATGAAGATTTCCGTCTTCTGGGTTGTTGCGCCGTGTAGTCTGGTCGATGTTTACCAACGTTTCAGAGGTCATACTGCCTCCGTCATCAGGGCGATGGTAAACATCTACCAGACTACACAGCGCAACAACCCAGAAGACAGAAATCTACTAAATTACTATTAGACACTTTAAACATACTAATGCAACCAACATAATTGAAATACAAAACTATGCAAATTAACTGAGGCACCTAGATCTAAAAGAACAAACTACATATTTCCAATTGCAAGCTGAAAACTGCTGTCAAAGATGATACGATCACATAGTGTTATTTCGTTTCAGAAATAGACGGCGATGATTTTGTGGCTCAAGCTTTCGCCTTTTTAGCCGCGGGTTTCGAAACGACCGCCACAACAATGACCTTCGCACTTTATGAGCTGGCATTCCATCAGGACGAACAACAAAAACTTCGGACGGAGATCACGCAGGTGCTGAGCAAACACCAGGGCGAACTGACGTACGACGCGCTGCAGGAGATGCTCTACCTCGACATGGTGGTCTCAGGTGAGGGACTGAATCTTCTTCGTCTGCTTTAAGGATATAGGCCACAGGGTTGTTTCCGACTTCAAGAGAATGCGTCTTCTCACTAGCCAAAAACAACTTCGAAATTTCATGGTGACAGGCACAACAGAGCTTAAAGCATTTGTATGAATACTCCTCAAAGAGCAGAACTAGATTTCGCAATACGTAACTCTTTGCTTTTATAGTATTTCCTTGAATTCCTTAGGATTTCCAAAAAACAAATAAAAATTTACTCCGTCTTTCAAAATACCTGTGGCCACAAACGCAGTAGATGCGTGTAAGAGAAGCAAATGCAGTGGTGAGTATTTATAATTTAACAGTAAACACGTGTGTCAATGGAGAAGACTTTTCAGAAATACAATGTAATTGGAAAAATTATTTTAAGAAAGCACTAACAGTTATCTGTATTCATTCTTGCTTTATATAATAACCCTCTTACAACTGCATGCGTAATGTAGCGTTAAGTGGCAGGATACTTCACAGATGACTGATTGCAAACGATTTGGAAGGTGAAGATCAGGGCATATTTTAATACATTATCCTAGCATCTACGTGCAGGAACTGAAAACAGCACGAGAAATCTGTTAGGACAGATGGTTTCTGCGCCGAAATTTGAAACTACGAAATACGAAGCGCGTGTGTTCACCACTTTCGGTTTATTTAAGAATACTAGAAAAGCTATATGCTTATGCATGACATCCATATCTACTAAGGTTAAAAGAAGATTCATATTTTACTCTTTATTACGACTCCGTTACTAAAAATTTTATTGGTTTGTTCAGGTTTAATTTTTGGCAGACAGTTTGTTCTAGTAAGAATGGAGTAAGGATGAAATTATCGACTGTTCTGTACACTACGCTGCCGAAATCTTGAACCATTACAATTTTAACAAAAATTCTATCAATAAATGTTGAACACCAAGAGACACGTTCACCATTTAAAATCTCACTTATATGTATTGTATTTCACTTTGCTACATGAAAAATTTACATTTTTCATGTATTTCCACAGAGACACTACGGAAGTATCCCATACTTCCATTTCTGGACCGAAAGTGTGTCTGTGACTACAAGCTTCCCGACCCGTCAGGAAAGGGGACGGTGGTTCTACCAGCTGGGACTGGAGTTTATATTCCGATAATAGCTATCCACAATGACCCTAAGTACTTCTCAGAACCGGAAAAATTCGACCCAGAACGATTCACAGAGGAAACGAAGAAGAGTAGACCGAACTACACGTATTTTCCCTTTGGAGAGGGGCCTAGAATATGTATCGGTAGGTACACAGTACATTGACCATTTGAAGCTGAAATCTCTAAATACTGTTCAAAAACTCTGTCCGTACTGCAAAGAAAACGCAGATTTTCGCGGTTGCAAAGATCAACTGGTGAATGCTGTTTAAAGAAATAATCTTTGTTCGCAGTAAGAATCATACCCATAAATACCAAATGAAGAGTTCTTGATTATTGAAGCACGTGGGGGCATATTTGGCTTTGAAGGGTTAGAAACCGTTGTAAAATACAGATGTTGTTTTATGTCCCGTGAAAATTCGTCCAGCTGACGTGCCATATGGATATAAAAATTGCACATTGATTTTTCACCACCTCGCGATAGGCTGAATAACACAGATATTAACTGTCAACTGAAACCCTTGAAGAGATCTAAAAAGGAAAGAATAGCTTGGAAAACGAAGGTCTCCAAGAAACGTAATACCGTCCATATTTGTACCAAGTACGTGGTCTAGCGGTCAGAACGCTGGGCTTGTAATCCTGGGGTCCCGGGTTCGATTCCCGGTGGTGCCCGGATTGATAACTTGTGTTGGGCAAGGCCGTGGTCCAGGTTTCTCCGTGGCATCCCAACAATTAGATACTAAGCACACAGAAGAAGGCAACGGCAAACCACTTCTGGATCACGTGCCTAGGAAACATATGAACAGGTCCCTATCAGAGGGATCTTGTTCATAATGTCACCAGGGGTCCGCTTCGACCCGAAGGTGCCAAAAAAACGTGCATTTATTTACTTAATCTCATTTGTGCTTTAAATGTTTCTTACATTTTTCCTTAGGAATGCGATTTGGATTAATGCAGGTCAAGACAGGACTTGCTCAAATCCTGTCACGCTACGAGATTTCTCCCTGCAAGGACACTCCTCTCTCCATTGCCTTTGACCCGAAGACCTTTTTGTTGTGCGCAGTAGGCGACATACCACTGTCTTTCAACAGACACAAGGCATAAGTCACATTCCAGTGATCATGTACGCATTCGGCAATAAAGTACAAAACACAAGAAGTACTTCTTTTTCTTCTTCCTTGGCTCTCCGGTCCGTATTCGGTCCATGGCCTCTTCAATTCTCCTCTTCCAAACGGTCCTTCTGTTAGGTCCGTCTGTCCGAGGTTGAGGTTTCGAAACATCTTCCTTTTTACGGTGCAAGGTTGTTAGCCTTGTGACCAACCCCCAACCTGGAGGACCAGGGTACCTGTCTTAGTCTGACCTCTCCCCCTCAACCAATCTGCTACCGCCAGCATAGCTCTTGGGGTCACCGAGGTACTCAAGCCCCACCACCACGACAAGGTGCAGGTACCATTAAGTGGGGAAGTAAACATATTAAAAGAAATATAAAGACAAGTGCGTAAATTATGTAAAAGACATTTTAATCATCATGTGATAAATAAGCACAACTGAAACTCGTGCCTTTGATGTAATTAAAGTCGCTTGTCATAGTTCACCATATCAGTTATTGGATGTATGGAAGGAAGCTGTCCTTGACAAACTGATAGCCGAATATTATTAGCAATTGGCCTAAAAATCTTATCACAATTCAGCTTTGTAACAGCCAGTGGCTTGTTACTCAATTTCCAGTGCGTATTACATCAACGCGCCATTCTGTCACTGATACTAGTTACTGACATCACCTCGATGTTTCGATTATGAAACAATCATCGTCAGGTTTACATCAACATCTCATTGTTAATATTGTCCGTTAATTTCATATGCTTGAAAACAATAAAGCAGATAAGACGATAACTCACTTTGTTTCAAATTGTATTTAAAACAAGTTAAATTGATCAAATGATACATTTTGTAATTGCAATCGCTCTTAGATCACTCGGATAAATCACACGACCTTTAACACACCATCAACAATCGCCTTCTAATATTGTGTCACATTTAGTTACAGCTATAAAAACGATATAAAAATATGTTTACAGGCATTGCAAAATGTGATTTCTGGGTTCAGATAAGTGAGGTTGTTTGCACACTAAATCTTAAACGTTATGCACATTATCAAATAAATCGAGCATTAGAAAGTTTTACTGTAGCTCGCCACCAGTCAATATTATTATTATTATTTATTTACTCCAATTGGGTTTGCACCCGGTGGCAGTGGGTGGCTGAGCCACATGAATTAAGTCTACAGCCTCGCACTTCTCAACTACAATTAAGTCTTCCAAGTAGAGGAAACATATGTATGGACTTCTCATCTAGTCCATTCCTGGTTTAATTTCCTATGGTTGTAGAATATTACTAGCGGATTCGAACAACTTTCAGGTTGATCAAACGGCTTGAATTTACTTAATCATGTAAATAACAACCATCTGTGGAGTGGATATATTAGTTACAAAAGAGATTGCATGTTACGTAATTGTTTTCCAATTAGCTTCATTTAAAACTATGACGAATCAAATTTAGATGTTATGTAAAACCTTGAAAATAAGGATAAAGACCAAGTGCAGAAAGGCCGTAAGGTACAAATATGAAGCAGAACACGATTTTGTAATACAGCTGATAAATATAAGAAAAGCGCATGACGCCATCTGCAGAGATTTCGTGGGCTGCATGATCGAGGGATCGTCATTGTGTAGTTTTCTCCAGACGGGCTGCTTCAGCTGATAATCCAATGAAAAGTATTCGGAAAGAGGGTGCCTGGCAGGCCAAGAATCTCCTGGCTTCAGAACCTTAAAACTTGGTTCTCGATGTCCACTGGAGGGCTGTTTCAAGTAGCAGCCAGTAAAGCTCAAATCGCTATGCTGATCGCCAACATCCGGAACGGATAGGCACTTTAATAATAATAAGAAGAAGAAGAATTACATTTCATCAGTACAGATGTTCAATGCAGTGTTGTTTTAAACAATGGCGCCGTCCTTCAGTCGTTTGTGTTCTGCGTATTATATCAAACAGGAAAGACTGATAACACAATATTTATGAATATAATGAATCTTAACACGTTTAGAGATTCAAAATATAGATACACACGTCCGTTTTTCAATTTTTCTGAAACATTATCAACATTATATTTTTCAGAATACACGCACTTAACCTTTTCGATTCCGTGTTATTCCTGTGGTAATTCTTCGTGGTCCACAATTAATGTTCAGAGACCATAATCTCCAACAGAACGAACATTATCTTTTATAAGCTTTATACATTTCATGTCTCAGAACATTGTCTATTTGAAATTGCGTATCCCATTGAAAGAGCCTTAAGTCATTGCTGCTCTCAGACGATATATTGGCCATGAAACTGAATGTATTCATTGTCGCTGGCTGTTACTAGGAGCCTTGAACTAGTCTGCTACCATGAAACTGCAAGAATCATTGCAGCATTTGACAGACCAGAAACCTTGAGACAACCCATATGCGAATATGCCTGTCATGTAGAGGAAGGCGGGCGTGTTGCAATGAACGTCAGTTTTGATTCTTTCTCGGTACTACTTACTGAAATTCGTGATGCATATCTATTACACATTCTTTGTAGGGATGTATAAAAATAGGAAATATTACATTACAATAAGATTAAAATAATAACATTATAAAAACTATTATTGTTTGAAATTGTCCCGCTCTTGCGGTAAGTTACAACATACAGCGGGGAATTTTGTAACACTAAATCACAGCAGCCGATTCATACATAATGAGTGTCGCAAATGTTAGGCGGTACGATGTAGATGTCAGTTATAATTACACTTTATAGACTTCTTAACGAATAAGAGCAACGCTAGTTTATGAAACAGAAACAAAGCTACTTGGCACTGAAAAGAATAACTAAAATGTACTCAGCATGCACTAAAATTGAAATATTGTCACAAAAACAACGGATGCAGCAATAAACTTCCACTCCGTGTTGCCGGAAGCTCTCTGACAGTAGTCGCGCGCTAGCTCACAGAAACAAAAACAAAAATGGCGAAGTACCCGTGTTGCAAAGTGACCCTATTCCCCGAAGTTTCTGTGAAATCAGTGCACACCCTTTTTGAAGCTTGGTATTAAACGTTAAAAGTTGTGTGGTTCAGTCCGGCCTAGTTGACACTATTTACAACAAGTGAGCCCCGGGATTCCATTGGACACGATGTTGGAAAACCGACGCCTGCACAATACACCAATTTTAGCGTTTACGGGATGAGGGAGGCCAATATAAACGACGCAGAAAACCAACGCCGTTCAGAGCGACGACTGCCATATTCGGCATGTCATCAGACACGAAACAGGAAATCGATGCCAAGCTTCGCGACACCAGCAGACGCCATACTGAGCGCAGGCGAGGCAGGGGATACC